ATAGAACCACTATGTCGGTGGAGACTAAAATATCTTAATTGTCTAGATTACTCCACCGACTTAAGGCTAGATATTTTACATAATTATTTAGATATTTTAGGCTTACATTTAATACTAATCTAGATTTTATGAATTTAGTAAAATTTGCTAGGTTTTCTAGAATGGGCATTAATATTCAACAAAAGCAGTAAATGTTCTTCCATTTCTATTCACACTATTGTGTAAATACAGTCTACTTATGAATGGTTAAACCGCTATAAGGGCATCCGCATTTGTTAATTTTTTTCACATTCATTTAATCAAAAAGGTACACTCTCTCTCTTCCACATCATTTACACATCACCTTTCCACTAATTTTCTCTTCATTTAAACACACACCCACATCCCTACACATTCATTTAAATACAAATATGGGACTCATTATATCCATTCATTCAATATAAAAAAAAAAAGCAGCTGAAAAAAAAATAAAAAAAAATAAAAGATGCTCAAAAGAGCCATTAACACTCTTGAATGATACCCATGGCCCCACAAATTAATGAATGCATGCATTGGTTTAATAGGAAGCAATCCATTTAAATGGTCCTATACATCAAAAACCCACAGTGGCAAATCCAAAAGATCACATAGAATGGCTGCACAGTAACAAAATATTGAACGTAATAAAAGGGGAATGCATAATACAGGTAAATGGAAACTACAGCTAGATTAATCTTCTCCTTTTGCTTATTCGACAAGGGTAACGCAAAAATTCAAAATTGGTCCAATAATTTGGCCATTGTCCAAAAAACCACCCCTATATTGACCACTTTCAATTTAGATCCTATAATTTGTCGATTTCATCAATTTTGGTCCTTTTTTATCCGTACCCTGGATTAAAAAGTGACGTGGCATGAAAAAAGGACCAAAATTGATGAAATTGACAAATTATAGGACCTAAATTGAAAGTGGTCATTATAGGGGTGGTTTTTTGGACAGTGGCCAAGTTATAGGACCAATTTTGAAATTTTGCCCTATGTTACCCGCACTCATCTATTTAGGAAGAATACCCGTGTCATGTTGTGTCGATACTGATGTGGGTATGAGCGTCGGGCGTGGCATTTTAGTCTAAAATGTTCAAAATTTCTAAACTATTGACGAGTCGCTCGTATGTGGGCTCTTTATTTAAATGAGATGGTCAAAAGACTAATTTATTTAAATGACTTTTTGGATAACTTTTTTGTTTAAGTAACCCCATCCATTAAGTAAAGATAAATAAATTATTAAAATACCCAAAATATCCTTAGATGGTAAATAATCATAATAGCCTTCTTCTATTTTGTTTTTTTAAAATAATAAAAAAAAAAAAAAAAAGAGGAAGAAGAAAGAAGGTCTCCCGCTCGCTCATGCTATGCTATTTTTTATGTGTGCTTTTCTCTTCAAAAGATGAGAACAAAATTTACACAAAAAATTTGGAAAGAAATGTGGTTATGGTGGATGAACAACAAAATAAAGCATTATCTCCTTTATTTTAGAGGAAATGTGAAAGAAATAATTATTAGTAGGATTTTTTGTTATTTTACTTTGATAATCATTATTTTTTTTTATTTTATGATTGATTAGCATGTTGGTTTCAAATTTATCATGTTTCTTGTGTCATTCATATTTTTTTTTTTCATTTTTTTAGATGATGTTTACATAACGAATGTACAGTCGTTAAACAGTTTAATAACGAATGTACATTCGTTACTGTTGTTTTTCGTAATGAAAGTACATCTTTTATGGTTATTTTGATGGAATTACTTGATAACGATTGTATATTCATGATACATGTAATTGGAACTTAATGCAAGTGTGAGCGTCCTGGTCCGGTTCGGAATGGATTGAGCTTCGTCCTGGCCGGTAGAACGCCGGAAACCTGCAAGTAACTCTCACACTGGTGGTTGTGTCCGGTGAAGAGCCTCCGATGCTTAAGTCAGTATATATGTATGAGTATACTGGAAATAATGAGTGAATAGAATGTGTCAAAGGAAAAAGGCTCACCCCCTTTATATAGGGGTGAGATACCTGCCCTAATAGCTGCCCGGATCTGATGAGCTGGCTGCCCAAGCTGCCCGTCCGTACTCTGACACACCGCGCGTATGTCAGAGGGTACGCGGGGCGTTTGGGAGCTGTCAGAGGTAGTTATCGATATCCACCAATGTGCTCTCAACACGTGTCCCCCCTGCACATGGGGTAAATATTCCCTTGAGATTCGGTTAGAGGCTCTTACACGCGCATGTGACTAGGTCGATTGATGGGTCCTCGAGGTGCTCGATCTGTTGAGGTCGAATAGATCGCTCGATCGCTTGTCTGGTCGAGCGATGGGTTGGTCGACTACTTGTCAGGTCGACTATGTGGCTGCTCGATTCGTCCACCTCTCGGCCTGGCTTTCTCATGGTTCGATCCCCTCAACCGGCTGAGTGGACCGGTCTAACTTTATGTATATAATATCCCATATCATCTAGTCCCCCCCACTCTGGTCGAGTCTGAATGACTCGATCTAAGAGTGAATGCACGTTTATCGACCTTCTGGATAGCTTATTGTCAGATATCGACCAGCTGATGAATTTTCCGCTCATGTTTTCAAATAATTTCTCCTTGACTGCCAGAGATAAAGTCTTCTGACACACGCTTTTTCCCTTACACCCACTTTTTCGCCGCGTGTCCTGCCTGTCAGGCATTTGTCTGGCGTTTTAATAATGGCACCTCTTCGTATAACGAGCCCACTTTGAGTGCCGTGTTTAATCAATGTTGTCCGCCGTGTGATCTGACTTTAATCTGACTGTCCTCCTCTTTTCAACCTTTAAACTCTCCAAGGTATAAATTCCACACTTAGCCAATTTTCATACTTTTTCCACCTTTGCAATCTCGAACTCTCCTGCACTCCAAATCTTTTCTGCGAAAAGTCTCTTTTTCTCGGCGACTCCTCTTGCCTCCTCCAAGACTTCCATCTTCCATCGATCCCCGGTTATGAGTAAGTCTCTCCACCCTTGAACTTGTATTCTCTGTAATTCTATTTTGTGTATTCCTGTTTGAGTTGGTTTGAATTAGCGTGTCTTGTGTTGAATCCGTGCTTTGAGAATTGTTGTCTGTCTAGTAGATGTTGTGGATTTTGTTTTTCCTCTGAAAATTTTCGAAATTTCTGCCTCTGCACCTTCTGATACCTTTTCTGGTTTTTGAATCGTCCCCTTCAGAAACCCTAATCTTCCTCCTCCCTCTTTCTTCGCACTAGCTTTTTCTTGATATTGTTTTCTTTGTTTTTGTTTTTTTTTTCCAGACTCTGCGACCTCCTCTGATTCAGTTGAAATACTGCCCTCTGCTCTTGAAGCCGTCCCTCTTTCTATTCTTCGACCCGGCGAAACTGTTCCCACCCGTGTTTTCACAGCTCGAGCTGCTTCCTCCAATTCCGGAGACACCATGGATAACATCCCTCTCCGCCGTCGTCGACCTCTTATGGGTGAGCTAGACGAGCCTGAGGTGGATGAAGCCGTTTCTTCCCCTTCCTCCACCATTCCTCTTTCTTCCGCTCCTCTTCCTAAGAAACCCTCAACCAAAAGTCCTTCCAAGACTCGCACCAAGGGTTCTTCCCCCTCTTCTCTTTCCAACCCTTGGTATCACGCTGCCAAAATCGGTCGACCCGCCGGCTGGGCATTCTATAGCCGCTCTCCTTCTGACAAATACGACTGTACCCCCGAGAATTGTTATACCTTCTTTGAGATCCAGTTCAAGCTCGGTCTGCGCTTCCCTCTGAGTTCTGAGATCCTTCGCATTTGCGAGTGGTTCTCTCTTCCCTTGCACCAACTTCCCCCTAATGCTATTCGCTTCATCACCACTTTCATCATCCTCTGCCGTGTTCGTCTAGGTCGATTCGACCTAGACTTTTTCCATTACTGCTATGGCCCTTCCAAACAAGGTCGAGGCCTTTACCTTAAGAGCCGCAATGGTGCTCATTTCATAAGCGATATCCCCACCAACATTCCCAAGTGGAGTGATAAATTTCTTTTCGTTCAACCTGACGCCCCTTTTCCCTAGCCTTCCGTTCCTTGTGTCAGGGAAGTCTCGCGGGAGGCAGCCTCAGCCCCTCCTTTGAACCCTCTCTTCGACCAACGGATTCACACTTGGAATACCAAGCCCGTTGAGTCTGAGAAACTTCTCGCAGATGAGAACCTCCTCCACCACTGCGGTCTTCTCACTCACAAAACCTTCTCCCCCCCTACTGAGGAGATTCTCGACCTGGTTCGTATTGAAAATGATCTAGGTAATTCTCGACCAATTCATTCAAGTGTTCATATATGTGGTCTTACTTCTGTCAGGGTGAATGCTAACCATATTATTGACATATTTTTTGCAGAGGCCCCAAGCTTTAACACTATTCGGAGGGTCCCCTTGCGTCAGGGTTAATCGGGGACCAGGGTGAGGGATCGGCCACCTCATCCCCATCTCGCTCCGAGCGACAACAGTCATCACCGCCTCGCCAACAACAACAATCCATTCAAACTCCACAAAACCAGCAACAACAACAACAGCAGCTGCCCCCAAAACAGCCGCCCCACTCACCACGGCAACAACCTCCGCCACCCCCTCCTGGGAAGAACGCTCAGAACCCTAAAACCTTGGCCTCGACCTCCTCACAAACCGACGATCGTCAGAAGACTTTCGACCGTCAACACAAGTCTGACGATCGTCAAAAGACCTCTGATCGCCAGCATAGAACCGACGACCGTGCACAAAAAACTGGTCCCCGAGGCTCCGGCTCGAAAGATAATCCTGCCGACAAAAGCACTGATAAGTCCTCCAACCCTAACCCCTCGTCTAAGACCAAAGTCCCCGAAAAAGTGCCACTCGACCAACAGTCCTCCAGAACAACCCTTGCCGGATCGACCAAGGATCTGGTCGAGTCCGGCAAAGATGACGCAGCGGGTCGTGAGCTGGTGTCAGGCAAACGCTCACGTACCGATCAAAGCGAGATGGTCGTGAAGCGAGTATGCGCCGGCCATCTTCCTTCAGACCCGCTCGCCCCGAAGTCCATGTCTCTATTATCAGCCTCTATCAACGAGGTGGCCGAACGCCTCGAGGGTGCCCTCCTCGAGGATGACCGCAAAAAGGCGAGCGCCACATTGCCCGAGGTCGGCGATCAACTCGTGCAGTGGCTCGCGCAGGTATTACTTACCTTATATCCGTCTTTATACCTCTCATTCAATTCCCCCCAACGTATGTACTAAACTGTTTTCCTCCTCTCCGATTGTAGGGCTTGGTCCAATTTCTACCTCTGGCCAAAGAAGCTCGAGACAGCTCGGGCAAATCTATAAAAAGCCTCGAGAGCAACATTTGCTATCTCCAGGACAAAAATTCCAACCTCCTCAACCACAACACTCAACTCCGCGAGAAGCAAAGCGAGCAAAAGACGGAGTTCGAAGTCATGATCAAGTCCCTTGACGGAGAGCTTTCGAGCAAGAATAAGGCTCTCGCGGAGAGGGAGGCCGCCCTTTCGGTGAAAGAGGTGGCCATGGCGGAAAAGGAAGCTGCTCTGCGCGAGAAGGAGACTGCGCTCGAGCGGGAGAGGGCTGCTCGAGCACAAACGGAAGCCGCTCGAGCTCAGGCGGAAGGTGCTCGAGCAGGGGCGGAGGCTGCACGAGCTGAAATGGAGGCCACTCTTGCCAAAGAACGAGCTGCTCACGCCCTCCAGTGTAAACGCTACGCTGATGCTGCTGCTCTTCGAGCTCGGCAAATGATGTGGGGCACTACTACCGGGCAGCTCTTCCTCCGAGAGTACCGTGAACAAGTGGTGGCCGATTATACAAGGTCACCACAATATCTGAAGAAGGTGCAAGACTTTGGGGTGGAGTGCTTTCAGTTCACCCTCCAGAAGGCCGGCGAGCAGATCGCCGATGACGACTTCGAGCAGCTCGATCCCGTGGTTATCTAGAAGGCCCTGCCCAAGGTCCCACCCAGTTTTCAAGGTGACCCTACCCTGCCTCCTGAGCATGAGTGGTGGTCAGGGCTGCTCGAAAGGACTCTGGCTCGATCGGATATCCTAAAGAAGACCTATGCTCTGCCCGATGGCCTGACTCATCCCGCCTCAATGTTGGCCGTACTGAACGAGTCCATCCGACAGTGTCCCCTTAATGAGGCTTGTGACTCGACTTCTGGGACTAGCCATCCGCCGGATCCAAACGCCAACCGCAGTAACGCAGACTCGACCGCGGCCCCTCCTCCATAGATTAAAATTTGTATTCTTTGTTTTGGCATTTTCTGAACTCAGACTATGTACTTTAACGCATTTTGTAGTGTTCTTGGATTGGATATGTTTTGTTTTCGGCTTGTCTTCATCTTCAATAATTTCCGTTGGCAATTTGTCCTGATGCCTTTGTGATGACGCTTTGTATGATTGATGCGAACTTTGCTATATAGCCAACACGCTGTCAATAGTCTACCCATTCTTCACATAGCAGATCAATGTTTGTGTGTTTGCTTTATGATATCCTAGATAATGTAGTCGTAACATACATACATATACATACACATGCCCACCCCTGGAGGTGGTCGAAACATGCGACCACCTAGCCTCATGGCCTTAAACCTAGTGGGTTTGTAAATTTGTAAGCACAAGCCCACCCCTGGAGGTGGTCGAAACATGCGACCACCCAGCCTCATGGCCTTAAACCTGGTGGGTTTTATAACTTGTAAACACATGCCCACCCCTGGGGGTGGTCGAAACATGCGACCACCCAGCCTCATGGCCTTAAACCTGGTGGGTTTTATAACTTGTAAACACATGTCCACCCCTGGAGGTGGTCGAAATATGTGACCACCCAGCCTCATGGCCTTAAACCTGGTGGGTTTTAGTCTTCACACTTGCCCACCCGCGAGGAATGTTCCAAACAGGAGGTCTTCGACCAACCTGCCCACCTCAAGGGATGTTCTAAACAAGCGACCATCCAGCCCGAGGGCCTTAATCATGGTGGGTTTTGATCTTCACACTTGCCCACCCGCGAGGAATGTTCCAAACAGGAGGTCTTCGACCAACCTGCCCACCCCAAAGGATGTTCTAAACAAGCGACCACCCAACCCGAGGGCCTTAATCATGGTGGGTTTTGGTCTTCACACTTGCCCACCCGCGAGGAATGTTCCAAACAGGAGGTCTTCGACCAACCTGCCCACCCCAAGGGATGTTCTAAACATGCGACCACCCAGCCCGAGGGCCTTAATCATGGTGGGTTTTGGTCTTGACACTTGCCCACCCGCGAGGAATGTTCCAAACAGGAGGTCTTCGACCAACCTGCCCACCCCAAGGGATGTTCTAAACAAGCGATTACCCAGCCCGAGGGCCTTAATCATGGTGGATTTTTGGTCTTCACACTTGCCCACCCGCGAGGAATGTTCCAAACAGGAGGTCTTCGACAAACCTGCCCACCCCAAGGGATGTTCTAAACAAGCGACCACCCAGCCCGAGGGCCTTAATCATGGTGGGTTTTGGTCTTCACACTTGCCCACCCGCGAGAAATGTTCCAAACAGGAGGTCTTCCACCAACCTGCCCACCCCAAGGGATGTTCTAAACAAGCGACATCCAGCCTGAGGGCCTTAATCATGGTGGGTTTTGGTCTTCACACTTGCCCACCCGCGAGGAATGTTCTAAACAGGAGGTCTTCGACCAACCTGCCCACCCCAAGGGATGTTCTAAACAAGCGACCACCCAGCCAAGTCAAACCACATCACATACATCCTGTCATCCAAATCATACCAACATTCTAGGCGTAAGAAAATGCACAATAAAGCGAGTAAAATCAAAGAAACAACTGAACTTCATTAAATTTTTCAAGTGAGTCTCGCGCTGTACATCTGTGTTCGAATGTTTTGAAACATAAGAACAAATTTTACACATAATATTTTTTCAGATTAGCTATGTTCCATGACCTGGCAAGTGGTCGGCCTTCAGCGTCCTTTAGCGAGTACGCTCCTCCTGCGTGCACTCGCTCAACCAGGTATGGCCCTTCCCAGTTTGGTTCCAGCTTTCCCACATGTTTGAGTACGTCAATGCGCTTCCAAACCAGGTCTCCGACTTGGAGTCTACGAACTTTCACCTTTTTGTCATGAGCAGCTCGCATCCTCTGCTTATATGCTTCTACCCTGATTGCCGCTCTTCCACGCAACTCCTCAATAGTATTCAAGGCCGCCATCATTAGATCTTCGTTCTGCTCAGCATTATATGTGCTCGACCTCTAGGATGATAGCTCGACCTCGACTGGCAATAACGCTTCCATTCCATAAGCCAAACTAAACGAGGTTTCTCCAGTTGTCGACCTCGGGGTCGTGCGGTACGCCCAAAGCACTGAACTCAACTCATCCACCCATGCTCCCGAGGCCTTTTCTAGCTTTGTTTTTAGCCTATTCAGTATGATTCGATTGGTTACCTCGACCTGGCTGTTGGCTTGCGGATGAGCGACAGAAGCAAAATGTTGCTCGATTTTCATGTCATCACACCACGCTCGAACCCGCTTGCCATTGAACTGGGTACCATTATCGGAGATCAACACTTTTGGTACGCCAAACCGGCAGCAAATGTTGTTATATAGAAATTTGATCACTTTCTCCTCCGTAATCTTTGCCAATGGTTCAGCCTCCACCCATTTCGTAAAATAGTTGACCGCTACTATCAAAAATTTCCTCTGCCCCGTTCCCTGAGGCATCGTCCCCACCAGGTCGATACCCCACTGGGCGAATGGTATGGGGGCGCTCATCGTCGTCATTGCCTCTGCTGGCTGATGGATAAGGGGGTCGTGTTTTTGGCATTGCAAGCATTTCTTCACCATTGCCTTGGCATCCTCCCTCATCGTCGGCCAAAAATATCCTGCCCTTAGAATCTTTGCGACCAAGGCCCCTGATTTGCTATGATCACTGCAGCACCCTTCCTTCATCTCTCTCAGCACATATCGACCTTCTTCTTTAGTAACACAGCGCAAGTGCGGTCCTCCATACGACCTCCTGTAAAGAACGCCTCCATGCTTAAAGAACCTCCTTATCACTTGTACCGTTCCCTCTCTTAACTCCTCCAAGATCGGGGCCCTCCAATCCTGAACCTCCTCGATCTCGGCCACTGCTGCTTCAACCACGCTCTTTTCAAGATGCAATAAGGTGACACTTCTGCTCCTACAATCCACCAAACTTTGAGCAATTTTCGATAGTAGGTCTGCTCGACCATTCTCTCCCCTAGGAATTTGTATCAGCTCGAATGAATCGAACTCCTCCTTTAACTTTCTCATCTCCTCCACATACTTCTGCATCCGGTCCTCCTTTACTTCAAAACCCTCCTGAAACTGCCCAACTACCAGTTGAGAATCCGAATGCACCTGCAATTTCCTGGCTCCTCCCGCTTTAGCTAAACTCAGGCCTTTGATCACTGCCTCGTACTCGGCCTCATTGTTAGACACCCTGAACCCCACTTTCACTGCAAATTCCATGTAATCGCTCTTAGGGGATATAAGAACAATCCCCAATCCTGCCCCGCTCTGTGCCACCGATCCATCCACAAATAATTGCCAAATTCCCTCGCTCTCCTCCTCGATCTTAGTGCCTTCCTGAATGAAATCGGCCAGTACCTGCGCTTTTATGGCCCTCCGCGGCTCATATGATAAAGAGTATTCACTCAGCTCGACTGCCCATTTCACCAATCGACCCGAGACCGATGGTCGACCAAGCGTTTCCCCCAGTGGCATATTTGTTCGCACCTTCACCTTATGATTCAAGAAATAAGGCCGAGCTGTTACAACGACAGCTAGAGCACACTTCTCAATCTCTGAGTATCTCATTTCTGCCCCTTGCATCACCCTACTTACGTAATAAATAGGGAACTGTGCTACTCCTTCTTCCCGCATCAGCACTGAGCTTACAGCCCGTTCTCCAATAGAAATATATAACACCAATTCTTCCCCTTGCACGGGCTTGGCCAACAGGGAGAGATTAGCCAACACCTCTCTCAGCTCATCGAACGCCCTTTGTGCCTCTTCCGTCCATTGAAATTTCGAGCTCTTCTTCAGCGTTTTGAATAATGGGCCACTCTTCTCCGCCACCTTCGATATGAAACGGCTCAGCCCCGCAATTCGACCAGCTAAGATCTGTACCTCTTTAAAATTCGTCGGCGGCTTCATATCCATCACAGCT